TCTGCTGGATTAGGTGAGCAACACCGTGCAGCAGACCAATAACAATCAATCTCCAAAATCGCTAATCAATTTATATGTTCATTCATTTCACTAACCAGAATAAAGGGGACTTCTAGTCAACCTCCCAGAACTGAAACATCAGACAACATGGAGCAGGTAAAGACTGAAGTTAATAAGCTACATTAGAGAAACACAAACGAGAGAGCAAAAACTTGCAGTGCATTATAATGTAGAATATTGCTGTTTGTCTTCATCAGCTAAACCCTGGTCCAGTGTATGACAACATCTCAGCTCAACCAGTAGAGCAGGATGATCTTCACTACAGCAGAGTTCACTTCTCAGAGACTCAGACAAATCCTCTCTACTCCACAGTCCAACCACACCAGCCACAAGAACAGGAGCATGTGCAATACGCTGTTGTCGAGTCGTGTCCCTGAGTGAACATCTGTTGTCATTACATATGATTCAAACTCTACTTCATGGCCTTGCTCATGAGAAAGAGTAGTGGTCTACTGCGTTGAACAAGACTTAAACACACTCTATCTTTCTGTCACACACAAAATCACTCTTGCACACTGCACCTGTTATAGGTATTATGTTATAAACTATATTATAAACTGAGACGAGGGGGGTCAACTGGGCTCCTGCTGAGACATCTCTGGTCTGAACACACATCTCCTATCAACAGAATCACATCAGCAAACAGTGGAAAAAATACTGAGCATACAATCCCCAAAGGTGTTGAGAAAATGTGGTCAAAAGGTGTTGAACAAAATGCCTCACACTTTGTTTCACTGACTCCTTCATCTGCTGAATGCACACTGTTGCTTACCCAAATAATAGGCTACTTAAAAATATAAGAAAGTTAAGATTAGAGAGAGAGGAACCTGTGCTCTTCATTTCCCAGCTCACGTATACTGAATAAATGCTGTTGGTGACTTTCATCTTACGTATTAAGTTATGAAAAGCGGTTAAAAGAGCCCACAGAAGGAGTGAAAAGTACAATTAAATAAGATCGAATAGATTTCACAGAATATATTTCATATTTGTGTCAAAGCATCTTTTCAGACCCCTCCCTGTGATAAAGAGAGACAACAACAAACAGTAAAGCATGTAAACAGTGGGGAAGTCACACAGAACATTTAATCAGTTAATCAGAAAGAAACTTTTACCTGATAATTCAGTCATCTGGGTTGCTGTAATCTTAGGTTTTTACTAACAACTGCAGACTACATTTATTTGAAGCTGAATTCAGCCATAGTTTGCTGCAGTGCAACTTAGATGGCTCAGGTTACAGCAAACATCAATACTAGGGTGCTACCGGCACCTTAGTTTTGCTTAGATGTATTTCTTCCCTTATGATATGTTACACAAGACTCTCTCATCATTGATTTCTTACAGTTGCTGCAAAGGGCCTACATATTCTTAAAGAGTCTTAAAACACATGTCAAATCAAATGTTGCTGTTTTATGCGAAGTACCAAAGTTGTGTTTTTTGTTTGTGTATGAGTTTATTTCTGTTTGTTTAAGATTTATTTTTTTCTCCTGTTAGTTGTCTGTAAGAGACCACATGTCCTCTGTCACCTAGCTGACAGTTTTTTTGCGCTGTGTCAGAAATCACGTCCTCATTCACTCATCCACTGCTCTGTGCAAAATAGACGCTCAGTAGAATACTAAAGTGATGTAGTAAATTGAGATTTGGAACACTTTGCATTCATAAAATGTGACACATTCCACTGTGGGCAGAGTGTCGTTAAATAAAAAACGAAGTAAATAATTTTATGAGGAGTATGGTCTAGATTTGCTCTTTTTAAAAAGTGACATAACTGAAATAACTTTCAGTTATGATATGGTGCTATACAAATAAAATTGGATTAAAGAGAATTGGTATGTTTCCAGAAAAGTCAATGACATGCCAGCATGTGTTATCTAATCAAGTATAAGTGTATATAAATGATATGAAGCAAGAACTGTCAATAATTTAGTTATGTATTCAGCAGTTCAGATCCTCTGTCCTTTACTTTCGCACTAGTCAAATCAGCAGACATATAGAGTGACAGTGTCAAGAATCTGTTAGCCTCACTTCCTGCAGCTCTCAGTCTGATCACTTTTTGATAATAAAAAGAGCCCATACACTAGTACACAGCAAGTAGAAACAAATATAAAAAGAGACAATAATAACTCTAAGATAAGACATAAAGTGTAAAGAGATGATTTTGTATAGTTAAAAGCCTCCCACAAACCAACACCCTCTCCAGCCT